CGTGGATCGAGATTTTTTATAACTATTAAATTGATAAATGTGCACTTGCAATTTTTGGTACATTAATTATGCGCATCACGCTTGCCTCGGTTTTAACTTCTCTGAGCGGAACCGCTTCAGCCCATTTGGAGAAGTAATCGGTAATTGCCAGGATGAACTGATCACCTTTGACTGACGGGGGACTTATAGGATCGACGATATCCATTCCCCAGGTCTCAAATGGCCACGACGTAACCGAAGGATGCAGATGCTCCGAAGGTTGATGCATATAATTCGCATGTGTTTGACATGCATGATACTTTCGGGCATACGCGATTGCATCACTGAGGTTGATGCATATAATTCGCATGTGTTTGACATGCATGATACTTTCGGGCATACGCGATTGCATCACTCATCATGAAAGGCCAAAAATATCCCATTCTTCTGATGCGGTCATAAAGCTTGGGGCCAGGTTGGTGTGCGCCACACTCTCCTTCATTTGCCTCTCTAAGAACTTCTTCGGCTTCTTTAGTTGATAAGCAACGTGCTAGCAAGCCATCGTACCCCCTGCGGTATAGCGTTCGATTCTCTGTGTTATAGTAGAATCTTGGTGCTCTTCGTCGGATTGAATCTCTTTCCTTTACGTCTTCCGGTAGTATTCCGTGTAGGACGTAATCGATGATGGGGAAACGCCAATCTCGGGGTTCAAACTCAACTTGAGTTGAGTGTGTTTCCTTAATATCTTCTTCCTCGTCCTCTTCATCATAGATCGGCACTAGGAGTTGGTGAGTCCTCACTGTAACAAACTGTTCTGTTTCAGGAGGTTGCGCCAGGGATACGGCCAATGCCGCTAATGCATCTGCGTAGGTATTTTGTAACCGTGGAATATGTTCGATAAAGAATCCTTCGAATGATTCTGCCATCTCTACTGCCATCTTATGGTATGGTATTAAATCCGGGCTTCGGACCTCGTACTCTCCTTGAACTTGTTTAACTATCAGTTGAGAATCACCGAAGGCTTCGAGATATTCAACCCCAAGTTCTTTAGCGAAACTGAGTCCTATGAGTAATGTATTATATTCGGCTACGTTATTTGAGCACGGTTCGGTCAACGAATAAGCTCGAGGCATAACGTGTTTTCCTGGGGAAACTAAGACAACTCCAACTCCGGAAGAAATCTTAGGACTTCCAGGAGCACTCGCTACATTAGTTGCTCGTGAAGCTCCATCGAAGTACAAACGCCATACTTGCTGGTGTGAAGTTGCGTTGACTTCGTGTGTCTCATCAGGTAGGTCGTCATATATCTCGGCGGTATCCGTAGTTGGATTAGCTGCCAGGAGATCACAGATGGCTTGTCCTTTTACCGACTTCTGTTGTTTAAAATGTAAGTCGTATTGGGACAAGAGTAAGGCCCACTTTGCTAATCGCCAATTCATGAACGCTGGTTGAGTCATGAATACTCGGACTGGGTTAACCTTAGAGATAACATAAATGGTCTGTCCAACCAGATAATGCCGCATCTTCTGAATAGCGAACACCAAGGTGAGGTATTCTCTCTCAATCATGGGATATCGAGATTCAGCGCCTACCATAGTCCAGCTTAAATAATACACTGCCTGCTCATGACCGTTATCATCATCTTGTGCAAGTAATGCACTTAATGAGTGGCTCGTCGCCTTGACATAAATCAAGAACGGTTTGCCCGATTTCGGTGCGACGAGTACGGGAGGTTTTGAGAGATATTCTTTAATACTCTCGAATGCCTTTTGACAAGCGTCATCCCATACAAATGACATGCCCTTCTTTGTGAGCTTAGAGAATGGTTGGTATTTTCCTGAGAGGTTCGAGATGAACCGACGGATATAAGCTAATCGCCCTTGCAACCCTCTGAGCTCCTTGAGGTTTCTCGGAGGTTGCAATTCATTAATTGCTTTTACTTTATCAGGATCGACATGAATACCTTTGGTAGTAACGACGAACCCAAGGAACTTACCACTGGACATTCCGAGGAAAGACTTGGTAGGGTTCATTTTCAATTGGTGGGTCCGCATCAGATCGAACATCGTCTTCAAGTCTTTGATGTGATCCTTCTTAGCATCAGATCGAACATCGTCTTCAAGTCTTTGATGTGATCCTTCTTATCGTGACTTTTCACGACCAAATCATCCACGTAACATTCGACAGTTTTCCGGAGATGCTCCTGAAAAATCTTTGACATGGCTCGCTGATATGTGGCACCTGTATTTTTTAAGCCGAAGGGCATAACCGTGTAGCAGAAAACACCGAGGGGTATTCTAAACGCGGTATGCTTTTCATCATCTGGATGCATCTTTATTTGATTATAACCAGAGAAACCATCCATGAAAGACATCCTCTCGAACCCGCACGTATTGTCAATGATGACATCTGTGATAGGAAGGGGGAAATCATCTTTTGGACAGGCAGCGTTGAGGTCTCTAAAGTCGATACACACCCTGACCTTCCCGTTCTTCTTAAGGAACGGGACGATATTGGATTTTCCTCGCTTCCCATATTCACTTGGACCACTTGATCCTCGGTAGGAGGTTCTCTCTGTTCAAACCTATTGCCGTACTGCATGTTTAGGTGATGAACCCAAGGGTCCTCCCAAGTCGGCATCTGATCGTCTTCTTCTATTGTCGCAGGGTCGACCGTAGCCATATTCGACATTAGCTTTTTGAACATTTCACCGATACTAGTGTCGGAATCCCAAGCCGAAGAGTCAGAAGAATACCCGTTTCTAGCTTTGTTAGCAATTTGATCGATGA